CAAAATAAAACCATCACTTAGAAATTTTCACAAACAGATTAACAAGAAACAAAATGTATAAAATACTCACGTCTATATATCCATCTTTGCCATCTCGAGAGCTGACTCCCACTTGGGAATGATGAACGTTTCTGGGCCAGCACATTCAAACATATTCTCCCCTTCACATCCCTGGTAATGGCTAATTTCGGAAAACGTTCAAGCAGGCTCAACGCAAAACCTACATTTGCCACAACAAACAATAGTTAGTCACATTGTAGTCAATAAAATTGCAGCGACCTATTGGTTTTTTCTAATTCAATTGAACTCACTGTAATTCTCCACACTGATCGAAATTGACAGAAGCGTAGCGCCATTGTTACTTGTTTCAGGATTTAGTTCCTCCGCGGAAGTCTCCGAATACAAATACCGCAACATTCGTTTATCACCATAAAGAGCAGCAATGCAAACTGGGATATAACCATTATCATCTTTTAAACTCAGTAACTTCTTGTTCTTTTTCACCATTGCCTCCGCCATCTCAACCGACTTGCCCGTTGCAGCAATGTGAAGGGCTGTTGCGCCGCTAGTTGTTCGTAGTTCCAAGTCCTCTTGTGGCATCAATGGTACAAGCAGTTCGACAAGATTGTCGTGCCTGTGCAAAGCAGCAGTATGGAGAGCCGTCCCTCCGTCTGTTGCTATTCTAGCACTCACTGTCTCTGGGTACCTTCCAAAAAACTTTTCGATACTTCTCTGCTCACCATTGACAGCAGCATGGTATAAAACCATATAGGGAATGTTGGTATCTTCGAAAGTCCCCGCGTTTGCAGAAATACCTGTAGAATTAAATTATCATTATTCTGGCCTAGAAACAAAATGAGTTTTTCCACAAACTTTTTTCCGAAGCAAATGTTGGCGTCAGGAGAAATGTTTTATTTTTTTTCTGGCGCAAAGAGAAATAATGATATAATTTTTAACATTTTCTGCATCGGAATAGGCCTTTTCCCTGTGCTATGAAGAATAATTTTCTAATCACCTTGTTTGTCCAGTGTGAGTTCAGCTTGGAAGGCTACTATGTGATCGTTCCAACGATGAATAGAGGCCAACGCCAAACGATCCCACGCGGCTTTTGCAGTTTTCTCCATGCTGATGTAGGAGAACATTATGGAACTACAAGAAATTTGAATGGCATGTAAAGCCTTTGCATTATGTTTTTCCCATGTCTTGAGAGTATACTGATCATCAGTTTGGTTTGTTTTAGGTTCACTGCCATCAACAATCTGCCATAAACCTTTCCCTGTCAAGTAGTTTTTCATGCATGCTGCCCAGCTTGTGTAATTGTTTTCTCCAAGAATAGTATGTGGCACTTTTGTCAACATTTTTCTGCATCATCATTTGATAATTTGGAATATACTCTATTTCAATCTCAATGATAATTTGGAAATAAATAGAATGAGTAAAAACACTCTATTTCAATCTCATGTTCTTCATTTGATACATTTAAAAAAACAATTAAGGATAAGGATCCTCTCTTTGTTTGAACTCATATTTGAGTTTTTAGAGGCTTATGATAAGTAAATATAAAGTTAGAATATACTAGACAAATAGATCCGAACCATAAAATAATAAAAACGTATATATATATATCATGAGATCCTTAAAAATTCAATTTAGCTCAGAAAAAGGGACTGATAAATATATAATTAATATTAATGGTTTAACAAACCAAAGAAACTAAATGTTTTGTTTCATGACATATTATATTAATGATCAATATAGATGAAAGAAATAATAATATATATGCATGACATAAATTCAATACAGATTTGACATACATGATAAAGTGATATATACATTATGTCCAATATTACTTTTTCATTTATTTTGACAATAAACTACATAAGAAGGTGAATCACATTGTTAACATATGAGAGAATTCAAAACTATAGAGGTGGATGTACCATATTGCTCATCAAATTGTATATATTTGTAATAATTAGATCAATAAAAGAAAGAAAACTGTATATAGAATGATTTTATGAGATGAAAGACTAATGATATGATACTTTGTTTCACTAAAAACTTTTTATTAACATATGAATTCCTATGAAGATGATTATATCAATCAAACAATGCACTACCCACATAATTTAAGAAGATTAGAAATAAAGCATATATATCTTTCAAAAAGCTGAGGAGAGGAAATACAAACATATAAAAATAGACTAACCTGTGATATTAGTAACTGATTAGCTTCTGCTTTGGAGTGAATAAATTAATAATTCCTCCAGTTGGCTTAAATATCATCACTGTATTGCTCATCAAATTGTATATATTTGTAATAATTAGATCAATAAAAGAAAGAAAACTGTATATAGAATGATTTTATGAGATGAAAGACTAATGATATGATACTTTGTTTCACTAAAAACTTTTTATTAACATATGAATTACTATGAAGATGATTATATCAATCAAACAATGCACTACCCACATAATTTAAGAAGATTAGAAATAAAGCATATATATCTTTCAAAAAGCTGAGGAGAGGAAATACAAACATATAAAAATAGACTAACCTGTGATATTAGTAACTGATTAGCTTCTGCTTTGGAGTGAATAAATTAATAATTCCTCCAGTTGGCTTAAATATCATCACTGAGATACTTGCCTTCTATACTGAGAAACACAATGAGAAGCTTGTTTTATTCTTTTATTCACATGGCAAGTTCAACTTTTACTAACATATAACCACTTTTTCTTTTATTTCTTGTTTTCCATTTTTCTTTTCGTTCTTTATCGATCTTTTCTACATAACATACAAATTAAAAGGGTTCTATGTTGGTTTTACTTTGACAGATAACATCTTGGATAATAAATAATAAGTGAAATATTTATTCCGAACAAGCATGACCTAATTATTTAATTATCTGTCATTGTTGAATACTTTAGACCACAAAATGCGTTAATTTTTTGCTTTCTAAACACACATACAATAAATAAATAAATAAATAAAAATCCATTTAATTAATACAGAAGGATATTCTAACATTAAATTTGGACAATATAAGTTGTAAGATGATTACAAACTTATAGCATAGTCTACTTATAAAATATTATAGAGAGTGATGCTAAATAGCCCCCACCTATGGTTCTATACTTCTATTAAGCCCCATTTTCAATTTTAATTAGGACAAAAATGTAAATAATAAAAAGGAAAGATGAATGTTTAGCAATCCTCAATGCTAATACCCGGCAGAAAATTCAGACTTGATAAAAATGTCCTTTGCAATCTCTTTCATTTCTTCATCAATTTATTTTTCAAGTATTGAAAGGATTATTTTTAGCCATCAATAACTACAGAACTCCTTATTCAACAGTTGTGAGAACCTTCCTCAATGAATTAAAATTTGAATCTCTGTCTTAAAAGTTTTTTTTTTTTCCTTCTGATAATCGTTGAAAATTGAATAAAAAGCATTAAAAAAAAGCTTTTGATTTGATTTGAAACTGGTGATTTATTTTATATTTTTCTTCCAATAAAAATTTGAATCTCTACAAAACTGTCATATTATTATTATTATTATTTTGGTTAAAAGAAAAATATAAAAGCTATGGACATCTTGTCGTTAACAAAAGCTAAAGAAGATGTGAAGATATGAATATTGTTAATTAGGAAAACTAATATTTGTCATTATGACAAATATTATGTTATTATTACGTAGCATAATTTATGATAATCACATCCCTAATTATGTGAGATTATAGCATTAAGGCATGATATATGTTTGCCTTTTAAAGATTCTTATACTCGTATAAATTGACACTTTGTACAAAACATTCATATATGAAAAATACAAGAGTCATTTCTTTGGTCTTTTACTCTTCTTTATTAGGCAGTCTCTGGCAGATACTTTACTCCTTTTGCCTTCTTTCTTCTTTATTGCTTCTTCTTCTTTTAGTTTCTGAAATGGTATCAGAGTAGTACTTTTGAGCTTCCGCTACTTCCAAAAACCTGCTCTTTACTGTCCTTGAAAAATCAAACAGAAAACCTTGATCATTTTCTTTGCAAAATAGATGGCAGACAATCAAACACGACCTCCACCAACCCACACAGGCCCAACACCAACAAACTCCACCGTGGGCCAAACAGGCTCTATCCCACCAAACCAGACAGGCCCAAACCCAACACAAACTCAACCACTCTCAAGCCCAACCCCAACAAGCCCTATCCCAACCCAACATCAAACAGGACCAAACTCAATCGGCCCAAACCCACTACCCAACACCTTTCCATACCTGTTTGGTTATCCGGGTCCCTAACTAGGTCAGGATTCCCAATTGGGTCCAAATCACTACCTGAATCAACCTCCCTTCAATTTTCACATGTATCCAGCCGCCACCTTGAACCAGGCGACATCTATACGCGCCAGCATCCGACGGCCTTGACATCATTCTCATTAAAAACACCTTGATGGGATCTGAGAATTATGCCACTTAGGCAGGGATTTCTGTCGTGCTCTCATCACAAAGGATAAGGAAAGTTTTCTTGATGGCACCACTACCCAACCACCCATTAATGACCACCTCCACCGCCATTGGAATAGATGCAATATGCTCGTTCGTGCTTGGATTGGCAATTGCATCTCATCGGAGGTGCTGATCTAGCGAGTGAAGTCTGGGCATACATCAAAAAGATGTATGGCAAACTCGATCTCGCCCAGACCTTCACTCTCCGATGAAATCTCTTAGGATTGACATATTTCAACAAATTGAGTTCTATTTGGAATGCCTTGGATGCTGCTGAAGAAACCCTCCTTAGGTCGCCAGAAACTCTCCAGCAATATCACTGGATTCGAGACTAAGAATGCCTAAGCAAATTCCTGCTCGGCCTCAACAACGACTACTTGTCGTTTCGCACTCAAATACTGGCCTTAAACCCACCACCATCTCTTCACCAAACTTTCTAGTTAGCCATATAAGAGGAAATCCAACGGTAAGTCGCCGATGTTTCCCGGCGAGAAGACACCTTAGCACTCGCCGGTGCTCGCACTCAAGCTTCACAGTCGCTGCATACTTTCTCCACAGAAGCAACTCTCCAGCGGCAAAGGTTGCAAATGGTGGAAGACAATCTTTTATATGGGAAAATGGGCGGCCGAGATTCAAACCCTTCGTCCAACGGCCCACATTCAGCCCAAGAGTCCACCGGGTCAACAAATGCAAATGGGCCAGGTTTGATTTCTTCTTTAAACACTTATGCAGGCCCAAATTCAACTTATGGCTCAAATGGGCTTAGGTCTTCCTCAAATGGACAAAATGGCTACCATGGGTCTCGATCTTTCAGATAAGGCAAGCCCAAATATTATTGTGACTATTGCAAACGCCAAAATCACAATCGGGATCACTACTGGAAGCTTCATGGGAGTAAACCAAGTGTCCAACAATTCTTCAAGAGACACTATCTCAGCACCCTTGATTAGCCAAGAGTGATACACTCAGCTCCTGCAAATGCTGAACAACACACCTCTAGCATCCAAATCCTCCTACGAAGGTACATCTTATTGTCTTAATCTTATAAAAAATGATACTTGGATAATTGATTCAGGAGCTAATGACCACATAATTTGCAATCCAAAATTTTTTCATACACATACCAAAAATACCACTAGCACTTCCGTTCGTATGCCAAATGGCAACATTGCCCCTACCACCCACATAGGCACTATTTATTTAACCGACCTTTTAGTACTTAAAAATGTACTATGTGTCTTGGAATTTCATTTCAATCTTATTTTTGTGACTAAACTCTATCAGGATAATAACTATCGTTTACATTTTTACCTACAAAATGTGAATTTCAGGACTCTTCATCTGGGAAATTGATGGGCTTGGGTAGGGTCAATAACGGTCTTTACTATTGGACTCCTGATGTCACTTCTACTATTTTTTCTAATTGTATTACACCCAATAAAATTTCTTGTAATACAAATATTAATAAAAGTTCTCTTATTTTACATCAAAGACTAGGTCACTGTAATATCTTATCTTTCACTTACGGCTTCTCATCGCTGCCCGGTGGCATATATCCTCTCCAATTGCGGCTCTTTTCATCACTGCCTGGTGGCATATATCCCCTCCAATTCCAGTTCCTCCATTCCAATTCGGGAACAACCTCAAGAACCCGCCGTCCTGCATGCANAATTTAATTACTAGTTAAATATCATACTTAATCAATTATAACATTACATTATAATTAAATGATTACTTAATTAATTATAATTTTATAACATTACTTAATTGATTTATAGTATAATTAATTATAGCATTACATTAATTGATTACTACTTCATTAATTGACTTATAAGTTATAACATTTAGTATA